TGGGCGAGTCACCTCCCAGATCATGTCTCCCTCCTACAGGACAAGTGTCAACGTTACGGATTTTAAATCCCCCATCTGTACGCTGGGATCCACACAGGGAGAGATCTGCCAGTTGGCTTTACTCGGGATACAATCGGTACATCGCAGATGCAAATTGTACAGATATTCGCAGTTGGTTTTGTGTGTGTTGTGTGGTTTAATATAACAATTTAAATGTATAAAGGTCCTAGATTTGAAGCTTTCGTGACTGCAAGGATTTCATATTCTTAGGTTTTTCGGTAAGTCACGTAGGTAAAAAAATTTAATTAATAAAAGTAAAATAAAAATAAAATAAAATCATGACGTTTCGGATGCAACACCAAGACGGAAGCTTGTGTTGCCTCCGAAACGTCGTGATTTTTATTTTATTAATTTAAATTTTTTACCTACGTGACTTTACCGATGAGAGAGTGAAAGCCATTTAACAGATGCGTTTTTGAGTCGAGATTTGTTCGCGTTAGTGTGGTGGTTAGTGAGGCGCACTACGAACGGCGACCCGACTTCGATTCACGCTCATGACGGAACACCGGCGACCGATTATCTGAACCGGTCCTGGGCCTCCCTAGGTCGACTCAGCCTTTAATGAGTACCTGGTGTGATGTGCAAACATCGCCACTGGGGAGACAAAAGCGGTTGGGGTGTGGTGCTGGCCACCCACCCCCTCGTGTGCCGTGCCGGCCTTCATAGGTGCTGCTCGCTAACAGCACTTGCCCTACAGTCTGTTACAGGCTGTGGGGGTGGGGGGGGGGGGGGGGAGGGTGTTGCTTGTGCCTTGTCTTTCCTCTGCTGCTCCTCGGGTCGGGAACCCTCCTTACCCTGGCCCGAGACTCTGACAACTCTCTCTCCCTTTTCAAGTCGCACCTGAAGGCCTACCCTCCCCTCCCTGCTCCTCTGCCTGTGACCGGCTGCCCATCTCGATCGCAAACACCCTCCTCGCATCTCCGCCAGATCGTCAGCCGGAACGGCAGCACCGAAGCGATTCGTCGGGCGCAACGCAAAGCAACGCAGTGGAACGGCAGGAGAACACCGAGACAGGGGGGGTGAAAGGATTTCTAACGCGTGTGGCCACGCACGACGTGCAATGGGGGGTGATCCCACGTGCCCTTGGCTGCCCCATAGCCTCACGTGGCGTGGCTCCATCAAGCACCACGTGGCCGTGATGTCGG